ATAATAATAATAATAATAATAATAATAATAATAATAATAATAATAATCTGGCTACAACCATTCAGTTGGTGCCCTGCCCCCTTTTTAAACAGGTCAACGCATGGATGCATGTAAAATAATAGAGCTTCAATCACAAGGACATGGTTACCATCTTGCCTTTTTTGATACACATCTCAAAATGTGTCTACACCTGGGTAGACATTTGATTTTCAGACTGTCATCAGTTGAAAATTATGTAACAGTGACCAGTAGATTTAGGATGTTAGTCTGTAAATTTAAGAACACAGTATACATATAAATTTAAATGTATAAAGGAAATAGCAGATTATTGTTTTCAATTACAATTTTAGGAGTTACTTATGTAAAAGCATGACAGCTGCATGCTGTCCAACACTTGCTTTTCTTGGTTATATTTTTCCAATGTATTTTTGCTTGGACCATTTAAAGTCTATGTACAAATTTTAAGATCTACATAACCACTTTATTGAAAGATTTCCTTAATTCCCAAATTGAAATAATATTGAAATGCACTAATTGAAATGCAAAGCTCATACTCATATTCAGAGTGCATATTCTTAATTTAAAAATAACAAGGGCAAAATTGAACTCCAGAATTCTTTTTCTACTCTTTGTATAGGCAACTATTAATAAATTCTGAGTAGTTTTCAAGCTGAGTACCACAAGCCAAAATTTTAGATGAAAACAATGATTGTGAGGTGGCCAGGTTTACTTGGATTTTTTTATATTAGTTGACATGCTGAGTGAGATGCCCATCATTTTAAGTAACAACTGGTGGCTTTAAGTTCTAGATAAAGTAAGTGGAATTTATTTCAGAAGACTGGCTCTCTAACTAACTAATGTAGTTTACTGGTGAATTGCCAAATTTAGTGTTCTTTTCCTGGTAGGGATCATTAACCAGCCAAGATTTCTAATGACTGGGGGCCCATAGAGACTGGAAACAGAAAAAAATCCTCTTTCTTTCATTTCTAGGTCTTGTCCCATTGCCCTTCACTTCAGCTACAAAATCTGCTCAGGTAAAGATGTTCTCTTTTGCTATCTTCTGAAAAGGGTAAGATAAGCAGCTCTGATTTTGCCACCTTCTGTGTGGAAGGCCTTTCAATAAATATTTAGGTCTTCTTGGATTGATATGCACAGTTTATCCTTCGTAATTCCTTTTGATCCCTAGCTGATAACTTTTTTTTATTATCCAACAGATTTGTGGCACCTCCAAGTTCCCTGCTGATGTCCTATTGAGGTCAGTCTCCATTACAAAGGAGCTTTCACCAGTTCCTGTCTCAGCTGCTGCCTTGCTTGATACTGGTAAACATGCTAGGCATGGTTTGGAATCGTTTCACATATCCTGTTTCATCTATTCCTTTACTTTAGTCTATATATATCACATTTAGGTGAAAACAGGATACAAGCCCATTTAACCCCTATATTTTGGAAATTGTTCCAGGTTCCTCAGCCCAGAAGTTAGCCAAGGAGAAGAATCTGTGTAGTCACCAGGAAAAGTACAAATATAATCCTATTCAGGTGAGAAGATCACTATTTGAAAGGAAGATC